AAATTCCTGAGGGTGGCACCAGTCTCCTTCTCTTCACTCTCATACACTCTGGCTGAGGGCTGAGGAGATGCTTGGGATTCCTCTCCCCCTCCTTATGACCTTGGACCTCCTCACTCATGTCTTCCATCACATCAGCACCTGAAATGGGAAGATTCCATTTAGTGATAATGGCCACTAATAGACCTATGACCCCCTCGCAGATCTGTTATTTATGCCAGTGACTATTACAGCATCAAGGTTGCTGATGAGTGTAGGGTCCTATTCATACTTGCAGACCTTTTTTCCCCCCAGTGCTCGGGCAGAGAGTGTAAAAAATGCAGCTCAAGCAGCGAAAAAGGCTCTTGATGATGCCAAACGTGCCCAAAATGCTGCTGAAAAAGCCATCAACTCTGCAGACAGCGATATCCAGCACACAAACACAGTTGTTAATGAGGTAAGATACCATCACGAATTATTTTACCAGCCCAAAGAAAATATCCATATGTTGCATTAGACCTAGAAGGGCATGCCTAGTAGTAATAATCCTTCTGTGGTTACAGCAATAACTACTACCACAACAATTACTGGCACAACAATTAGGGATGCCACTGAAGGAGGCAGGAATTTTAGTTTCTTTTCCATTCTGCAATTTCGCATACCCAAGTCTTAACACATTAGGTTTTCTTTTTATTCCCTGATGAAAATTGACATGGAATTGCACCACCATTGTTCAGCACTTTACCATCAGATTTGTTGCTCAGCAGTTAACTGCCAGATTTTGGCAGTGCAATCTTGGGGGCTCTGGAAGCTCAAAAAAAAAAAAAGTTTCAAAGCCTGAGGGCAACCTAACAAGCTTCCAAATTCCTTCCCTGAAACAGAGAGCACATCCTGACAGCAGTTTAACATGCTTGCCTCTAGTCCAGTCTTTCTCAACCTTAGCAACTTTAGGATGTGTGGACTTCAACTCCCAGAATTCCCCAGCCAGCATTCTGGCTGGGGAATTCTGGGAACTGAAGTCCACACATCTTAAAGTTGCCAAGATTGAGAAACATTGCTCTAGTCTGTGAAGCAACACCAAATATGCCATGTAATTCTTTCTAGCTAAGTAGCCACTTTGTATTTTGTCTTGGTGTCATGGCTGGTGAGTGGTGATGTCCTAATAGTTTCCTGCAGGGCAAGTAAGATGTACTGATTGGTGGATATCCCTACTCAGTTAACAGGAATGTACAACCCACCATGTTACTAGTTTCCCATACTTCTCTTTAACCACGGCTTATGACTTACTGAATACTTTTGAATTCCATGGTTGGAAAAGACTCCTGAGAATACCATGGATAGCCAAGAAAGTGAATGAATGGATCATTGAACAAATCAACCCAGAGTTTTCACTTGAGGCACAAATGACCAAGATCAGATTATCATAATTTTGGACACATTTTGCAAAGACCCATAATGCTGGGAAAGATGGAAGGAAAAGGATGACAGGCAGCAGCAAGGTGGATAGACTTGATTACAGTGGTGATAGGTACACCACTGAAAGGCCTGAAGGACCAGGTTGTGGACAGATCATCCTGGAGAATCAGTCTTGCTCAAGAGTCAACAGCAACTTGATGGCAAGTTGTGATGGCATATAATGAATCAGTTGATTACCTACTTAAGCCTAGATGTGTCTTCCAGATTCCCATTCTTGGCAACCAAAATGCCACCTGTTCCAAGTTTGCAGTATAGCATGATGTGAAAAAGCAATCTTCATTAACTATTTACATTTATACACCACTATAATCTCCAAGGACTCTCAGCAATTAAACCAAAACCATGCAATGCAAAGATATAAAACATCTATGGTAAACAAAATAAAAAAATAAAAAATAGAACAGATGGAGCAACACCAACCAACCAACATCACATTAATCCCAAAATGACATCTGGAAGAGCTCTAACTAACTTCCAGACAGCTACCACAAAAGGGGTTAATATAATTTCCAAGGGAGGCTATTCCAGAGCACAGGAACCACTACTGAAAATCATCTCCTGGACTCAACCCCACTCAACTCACAAAAATGGGGCACCACCAATACTTTTTCCTGGGATAACTATAGTAAGAAGCATCAACTCTGGTTGGTGAAGATAGTCCTGCAAGATCTAAATGCCAAACTATAAAGGACTGAATAGGTTAAAACCAAATTTTTTAATGCCTCCCTCCCCCAGCCTATTGCAGTTAGTGCAGAACCCATAATATGGGTGTAACGTACTCATGGTAATGAATGCCATCCAGCCAGCAGGTTGCTGGTTTCTAGTAAGTAAATAAATCATACATACATACAGTTTCTGAGTGGTCAACAAAGGTAGCCCCATGTAGAGCTCATTGCAGTAAGGTGATAAAGATGTGAATCTCCATAGCCAGATCCTCCTATTCCAGGTAGGGACACACCAGCCAAAACTGGCCAAGGCAGTTCGGACCACAGCCTCCATCTGTTCATATGGCAGTAGCTGTGAGTCCAGGACCACCCCCAAGTCACAGACCAGCTCTCTCAGTAGTGCTTTCCCCTTAAGAGCCAACAGAGTCAACAGAGAACCATGATGAACCAATAGCAACTCCATCTTGCTTGGCTTCAACTTTAGCTGGTTTCACCCTTTCCAGATCCCCACAGCATCCAGGCACTGGAACAAGCATCTGTGGCAGGACCCAGGGTGGCTATATACATCTGAGTATCATCTGCATATTGATGTACTTTCCAAAACAACAGATGGCTGCTTCCAGCAGCTTCATGTAAATATTAACAAGCAGAGAGGAGAGGACCAAGCCCTGTGGGACTCCACAAGGCAGCAGTTACTAAACTGACCTTCCCCACAACCACAGATTGAAACCACTTACTAAGAAGGAGCAGAACCATTGCAAAATAGTGCCTCCGGTCCCCAATTCTCATAGCCAGAGCAGACGGATACTATGGTCAGTACTACTGAAAGCTGCCAAGAGCTCTAATAGGTCCATGGAGGGTGCATTTCCCCCATCCTAGTCCTAATTAATGCCAACTCAGTCCCATGCCCTGGCCTGAATCCTGACTGAAAAAGATAGATATAATCTTTCCTCTTATTCTAGAGCACTCTTTGTCTGAATCCCCACTACCCACTCCACAGTCTACCCCAAGGAAGGGAGGTTGGAGACTAGGCAATAGTTACCAAGAACAGCTGGATCCAGGGGAGGCCTCTTAAAGAAGGTATACCTCACAGCCCCATTCAAGGCTGCTGGTGTAATCCCTTTTGGAAGCAAGCCATTGACCGCCTCTGGGTCCAGCCTGTCAGGCCTCCTCCACACCCACATAGGAGCCAGGAATGGCACGGATTAAGCTCGCAGATGGCAGGGTATGCCAGTGGGCACCCTAGTCACTTACCTGGCGTCTGTAGGCCAAAAGGAATCCCAGATAAAGCGGTGATGCATCTCTTCAGTCACAGCTTCAGGCGTTGCTCATAAGGAGTCAAGACCTCTGTGAATCTGAGCAAGTTTTTCTGCAGAATCCTGTGCAAAGTCCTCTTAGCCGCCAGGTGGTAGATTTACCCGCTCATTCCTTTCCAAGAGGGAATTACCCCTCCACCCTAAACAAGGCCACTGACCAACCACTCACCAACCCGATGAGGTAAAGTACAAGCCCTTCACCTCCCTTAACACCATCGTATAGGCTTGAATTTGAACTTGTGCCTATACTTGGCTGGGTTCATTTCTTGTAGCCCTCTGGGTATCACTTCAGTCACTTCATCTCCTGGAGCTCCTACCAAGGACTCCCCCAGGACTGGCAAGCAGCCTAGATGGTTTAAGGTGATGCTTCCACAACATGGGCCCACATGGGACATTTCTTCTGTCCCCTCTTATCTACCTTATTCCACCAGATTAACAGGAAGACTGCAAATGCTGAGGTTGAGTTGGCTGCAGCGAAGAAACGGGTGGGCCATCTTGACAGGCAAGTGGATGTTCTCAAAATGAAGCGGGCCAGTAACATCCTGGCAGCCACCCAAGCAGAAGAGACGGCCAGTGCTGCCAAGAACCGAGCTGAGGAAGCTGAACAGGTATGTGAGACAAAAATGGGCAATGGCCGCTCCTTGCCCTGAGCTGGGATTTTAAACATCTTTTCTTTGCTCTGTTGTGGGGTCCAGAGCCACAGAAATTCTGTTGGAGGCTTAATTGGTTTCTTTCAATCCTAAAATATTTTTATCCTGGTGTTTTCATACAGCTCAGGCAGCTCGCAACAAATAACACAAATCAGGCATTTCTGATAAAAATGATATTTGGAAACTCTGCTCGCTCCTTTGTTTGGGTCCTAATATATTTTTATAGATTCACTGTATTTTATTTTTGTCTCAGTGTCTCCAGAGATCCAAGCTTGCTCATTTTATTCCGATCTCTAGGGAATTACCACAAATATCCTGAGAACTAGGTTGTCCTTACTAACATGTCCCAAGACAATTGTAACACACAAGTTGCCTGTATTTATTTTATCACATGTTATCCAAATTTTACCTCAGTTTATTCTCACAATGATCTATTCTCAGAACAGTGAGGTTATGTGGCCTAAGAAATTGTCAGCTAGTTAGTGATTAGATGCTAACACATGAGGCTGGTAGCAAAAATGCTTTTAATTCTGTAAATGGCCAGTGCCAAGGCACCATCATCCCTAAAAATGAATTTCTGCCAGGAGTTGCATGGGTGTGCACTGAAGTCACTGGCACAGACAAGCTAGGGTGACATTCATCCTCCCTCCAGTTCAGTGGTGGGGAAGTTATACTTCATCAATATCTGGAGAACTACAGCATCCTCTGCCATTGTTTCTCTGGAAGGTTCCAGACACTCCACCCTTGCTGGTAGCCATCAAACTCTCCAGTGTAGCATCTTGAAACATTTGCATGAAATCATTAAATTGGAAGGCCCTTAAAAAACCAATCCCAAAGTCCAAGAGGCAGGATCATCTCTCCACTTACTAGCACCCTAAACCATCTGCGCTTTTAACTCACATCATGTGTCGTAAGCAGTGACATGGTGCTAAAAAGAAAATAACACCCAAAGTTATATCTCTTAAACTTGGGAGGAGAGCAGAAACCAAAAGGTTGACCTCAGGGTTTCTAGCGTGTTCCTTTCTGGCCTACAGCTTAAGCACCTTACAGTACAGACCTATTCTTCTCCACTGCATGCATGTCCCCAATGAGGCCATTTTCATTCCATAAATCCTTAGAAGGAGTTTGAAAGCAACCTTTGGCTGTCTTGACTTCTGTGACCACGAATGCTGAAAAGAAACACAAATCACTGCCCCACTTGAACTGCAGTAAGTCTTGCAGCAACAACCATCTTCTCACCTCCACTCCATGCGAAAGGAAAAGAAGGGAAAGGGGTGAAAACCCAAATGGTCAAGTTTTGCATGGGAAATAGCTCCAATGAGGAATAGAAGGGGGAAGCAGACAACACTCGTGAGAATTCACACGTTTTGCCTCCTCTGGGCTGTGGGGCAAGGAACACCAAAACGGTCGAAGTAGCCTCTGTCTTTTAGAATCTGAAGCTCAGGAGTCCAGAGAAGTGAAATAAAAGTTGCCTCCACTTGGGGAAATGAGCCTTGGAATTCCGAAAGAAAATCCCCAAACTTCTCAGCAGTTTCAGCTACTGTACACCAAATTCCTAATACTGCTGACAGTTGAGGGGACATAGAACAGCTTTCAAATTGCCACAGAATCCTTATCCAAGCACACGGTGGAACAAAGGCACTGTATGACTTAGGAGGCACAATTGCAGTCATTGCTCTGGCCATCCTTTCAAACACCGTGTGGGGAATAAGAGACTGCATGGAGGTCTGACGTTCTGTTTGTTGCCTGCTGATGTTTCCTGCTGAATTTCAGGTACTGGAGGGACCGCTGGGTGATCAATACCGCACCATGCAGGAGCTAGTGGAACGCAAAGCTCAGCATGTAGTGGGGGCCCGAAAGAAAGCAGAGCGCCTGCGAGATGAGGCCAAAGGGCTTCTGCGCGATGCTCATGAAAAACTACGGCGGCTGAGCAGTAAGTGCCTGAGATGTGTGTGCGTGTGTGCGTGCATGCGCACGCATCAGAATAAATGATGCAGATTTAAATTTTTAATGAGATCTGTGCTCTTGGCAAGCAGAAATCTTGCCTTACCTTCTGTTTGGTATGTGGCCTTTTACTGAACTCTTCCCAAAGATTTTCAGTCTGGTCATCCTCTAAATAAGATCAAATAGTATGTGTTTGTTTGTTTGTTTGTTTGTTTAATTTAGAGGTCACTGCTCCAAATGACTCTGGGCACCTTGCACTTAAAAGCAAGAACAAGAAAAATCAGATAAAGAACAAGAAAAACAGATCATCAATCTGGAAAACAAACAGTGAAAATAGAGACAACCTACAGAGGCCAGCAGCCACCCTACCCACCCCAAGGCCTGGGAGAACAATCAGGTTTTCAAATAATATTTCAGAATAGGATAGAAAAATACATTTTCAATTAGAAAATTGAAATATTCTCAAAGCATACCTTTTGGGTTGAATGCCACACTTGGGCAAAAAGCTCATTTCCCAAGGCAGCTCATATCCCAATGGAAAGAAGGTCCCTGGCAAGAGTAGCGAAAGGTGCCTATGGACAGAGGACCTTTTCGTATCGGGGAGGAGAAAGCAGAACACCTTGTATTGGTCTCAGCAGGTTCATGCACATAGGCAGCCTTGTTTGGGCTCAGAAGCTAAGCAGGGTCCGATCTGATTACTACTTGGAGACCACCAGAAAAGTAAAAGAAAAAAGAACAATTCGAGAAGAGGGCAGTGACAAACCACTTGCGCTGTTGTCAAGAAAATGGCATGGAAATAATCATAGGAGTCGAGCCTGAATTGAGAGTGTCTTTACTTTTTTATCTTATGCTAAGAATCTCTATGCTATACATGACTTGGATTTGCTGCTTTGCAACTCCTGATCATGAGGAGGAAGATATTTTTTATGGTCAAAACTGTTGTCCAAAGCTAAGCATTTAAGCCAGGCAATTGTCTAGGACAGTGTGTCTCAACCTTGGCAACTTTAAGACATGTGGACTTCAACTCCAAGAATTCCCCAGCCAGCATGCTGGCTGGGGAATTCTGGGAGTTGAAGTCCATGCCTCTTAACGTTGCCAAGGTTGAAAAACACTGGTCTAGGATCTAGGGATCACTGAAGGGCTCAGAGTCAAGCTTCAGGTGCAGCATACTTCTTGATCCCCCACTTTCTCTGCAGCACTCAGGTGTCTGTTAGGGAGAATGAATTATAAAAATAACACAAGCGTGCCCGGGGGGTGAGGAAGTACAATTATCTTGGCCAAAGGGAATGCCTGCTGCAGGCCTTTTGTCTGGAGTTTCACAGAAAATAATGTAGAACTAGCTGTTTGGATATTAGATTCAGAAATGAGAATGCACTATGAGCAAAGACTGTGCTATGAGCAAAGACTTCTCTTCTTGTACTGTCTGAATTTCTCCATCTTTAACCCCTTTTTCCCTTCCTTCCTTATTCAGAGCTGGAAGAAACATATGAAGAAAATGAGAGACTGCTACAAGACAAAGCAGCCCAGTTGGATGGGTTGGAAGCCAAGATGAGAAGCATCCTGAAAGACATCAATGAGCAAATCCAAATCTACAACACTTGCCAGTGATTCCCCATCACGGGCTCCCCCACGCCCCATGTGTAAATCCCACTTACTACCCCCATCCATGTGCTTAAAGCAGCACCGTTTTTTGGCTTAGTGTGGCCTAGCTCCAACTACTACATGGAGCACTGATTCCTATGGCCGTTCCTTCTCAGTATCTCTTGATATAGCAGCATCACTCGGCTCACAACCTCCATTGTATCACAAAACACAACACTGCCCCATAACATCCTTGTGAGACTGCTAACAGCCAGCACTGGGAATGTCAGCCTGGCGGTCCTTGGTGCTTTTCTGTTTTTATGCTATTCATATTTTCAGTGTTTCACACACAGTAGTGTAGGAATCTCCTTCCAAAGCAATGGAGGCCAAAAAGAGAGAAGGATGGCCTAAGAATGGATCAGATGAGGTAGTTACGCTGGCATGTATGCTTCACATGACCTGTCCCAACCAGAATGGCTTACATGTGTGGGAAAATAAAGACCCAAAGTGGCAGTGCTTTTTGCATCCTATTATCTTGTTTCTTTGTCTGTTTAAAGCGAGCTTCAGTTCTCACAACTGATTCTAGAAGTAGGCTAGAGAATGTTGACACCATTAGTAGGGGGCTGGGCAGAATTGATTCAACATGTTGCAGAGATGCAACAGAGAGTTGAAAGTGAAATGTCAGATACGGACATCACCCCAAACTGGAAATGGTGCAAAGAGGCAGAAACCAGGCAAAACACAGCAGGAGGGGCAGTAGCAATAGGAAAGCAGTAGCAGCTTTGCTGCAGAAGAACCATCCTTATAAAAGCCTAGCTAGATCAGATTATTTTCTGAGAAGCCCACAGAAAAGACCTGAAGGCAACAACTATTTTTGTGAAGCAACTGGCATCCAGGGGCATATTGCCCCTAAAGCTGAAGATTGTATAAAGCTACCACGGCTAATAGTCATTGAGAGACTTTTCCTCCAAGGTTTATTTTAATTTTGCATTCTGGAAACAATTTTGTGAACACAAGGAGGAAGAATACGCCTTCGTATGTTTCTGTAGTTGTAGATCCACTTCTTTTTTTCATAGCAGAATGAAGTCAGTGCAGCAAACCTACACAGAAAATGTGAAAGTGTTTTGCTTTCAGGGATAACATTCAGCTGAATCTTTAAGCGTGCTGTGCTCCTGTCTGTGACCAGAGATCAGGGGTGTCTACAGGGTATCAAAAAAGTCAAGACGGTGGCTGTGAAGGTTCAATCAAAACTCCATCTGTTTTTTACACGTGTTGCATTGATTACAGTGTCACAGCCATCATCCTGACTTTTCTTTCCATTGCCTGTAGACACCTTTATCACAGATAAAAAAATCATACCCCCTGGGCTCATATGTTGGACTTCAGCCATAATGTAGTTGAATTTTGGCTCAACTGTTCTGTGAACCCAACCACTGGGGTTTGTAAATCATAGGTTATGGCTTAAGGTATTGTATAAACCCTGTCGATTGATTCATAAAAGCATAGTTAAAAAGCATAACATAGTGTTAGGTGTGAACCCATCACTGAGAACCACTAAGCACCAATAGACGAGTAGAACTTCATTTAATTCCAGGATTGCCTTATTTTCTACAGTAGAAGGCTGTTCATCGGATTTCTCTTAAGGATTTGTACATAAAGCTACATTCTCCTCTTTCTAGTAAATCATTTCTCATTTCACTTTCATTTTATTTATTGTACACTGCCCTAAAACGTCCCAGCATGTTCAAGAGGTTCAGATTTCATGGATCAATGCAGGGTACACTTAAAAGCCTTGTCAGAAATAATTGCCAAGCTACAAAATGATAGGAAATAATATGTAGATTGCAACAGTTCATCACTAATACTAAAGCCCCTCATGGAGAAATAGAAAATGACTAGACGACACGGAATATTGTTTGTGAACCAAAAAAAAGGAGAAGTGAAAAATGTTTGGGTGTTGTTTTTCTCTTCTTCGTCTAAAGCAGAGACAGGCAACCTTTTCACGTGGGAGGTAGGGAGGGGTAGTGAATGGGGCAATGATGCAAAGAGAGCAGGGCCAGGATTTTAAAGCCAGGTTTTAGGCTGTGTGGTCAGGATTGAACCCTTCTTTTCTGCAGCCCCAAGGGCTCCCCTCTTGCCAAAAATGGGCACCAATGGTCTGCTTTTTTGAGGAAAGAAACACGAAAATTGCAACGCACACCTACAAAATAGGTATAATATTTTAAAAAGCAAATTCCCCTAAAAGCCCAGGAAAAGAATCCTGTCCTGGATTTCAGCTCTTTACCTTGTGGTTTGTGCTGCCTTAATACGTGATATTCAAACTACTAGAATGTTGCCATAACCATCAGGTTCTGATTAGGAGCTGTCTGGCTGGATGCTGGCAACAACAGACTTTAAAAGAATGTCTGTTTACTAAAAAATTGCTCCTTTTTTATATGCAGTAGCTTGCTGGCAAACCCCACACTCACTAGCACTGATGATGTTACCTCGTTGGGTAATGAAGCATCTGCAAACAAACAGCCAAGCTCGGAGAGCACCAAGGACTCCACAACCTGGTATATAAAAGGCTCGCCTTGTCTTCGGCTAAGCAGATGCTAGCACAGAAGAATCCAAATCACAGCATCCCTGGCAGATGGCTATATAGCTTCCTACTGCACACATCCAATGTAAAGAAGCCCACCGCCTCCTTGGGTAATTGGTGTTACTGTTCAGGATTTTTTTTTTCTAACATTCAATCAGGATCTGCCTTCCTGTAACTGAAATCCTTTATTCTTTGTCCTGCACTCTAGAATGAAGAACAGGTCCTAACCTCCTCCCGTGTGACATTATTTCAAGTATTTGAAGAATGTTACTGTGTCCCTACTCAGTTGTCCTTTCCCAAGGCTAAATATACCATCCTCCAACCTCTTTTTACAAGATTTACTTTTTAATCCCATGATTATCTTGTTGCCTTCCTCTGATCCTGTTCCAATTTCTCTGACTCCTTCTTAAAGTGAGGCATTCAGAACTGGACACAGGACTCTAGTGCTGAGACCCTGGTGTTTGTTGAGCTTGGTTTTCTTCTTGCAAGTGTTTCATTACCAAACTGGGTGTCAGTGCTTTGACACGAGAGAGTTTGCTGACTTTTTATATATGGCAGTTGGGAGTTTATGTGCCTGTTTCTTGATTGGTCATGCTGTTTCATCCTAGATGGTTCCTGCCCATTGTGTGGGTTCTCCCTTTTGTAGCCTGGGTTTATCTCTATGTATCTGTTAATGACTGATCTACCAGAATGCCAGGAATTCCCTAGGAATTCTCTTGCATTCTTGGATTTGGCTTGAATTAAAATGTTACAGTAACAAACTATTAAAAGATCAAGAAGGAAGTGAACAGTCCTGGATACTTCCTCCCTTAATAAACACCCAGCAGTCAACAGGCCGATAAGAATCAACACAACAATAAAATGTCAATCTTGAGCTACACACATTCTTTGCTGTTGCTACAGTATACAAGGTGGAGGGCTGAACAATGTAGAACAGAGTAGAAAAATTATTTCCTGTGATTTAGATATTATACTTCTGTTGATGCTGCCTAAAACTGTATTTGCCTTTTAAGCAGACACATCACACTGCTGGCTAATTTGTTTGCAACCAACTACTATTCCAAGACTGTCGACCCTTCAAGGCAGTCCAGACCAGGAAACCAAAGTTGTGAATGCTAAGAATATTTTTATTATAAGATTACAGTAATAGAATCTTGCAAGTCTGAATGCGCCTCTCCCCTTCCTGCCTTTATGTTCAAGAGAACTAGGGAGGGTCAAGTCTGAGACGCTTTCTCAAATTACATTACTGCTTTGGACTTCTCTTATCTGACCATTGTCTTAGTTGCAGCTCTTCTTGCCATTCAAGATTATTCTTACAGCCCATCAACCTTTTATATATTATCATGCCAGGTATTGCCTGCCTACACCTGTGCATTCACCTTTTTCCTCTGTTAAATTTCATTACCTTATTTTTAGCCTGTTCTTCTGACCTATCAAAATTACTTGAATAGTACTATTTTTTCGGGTATTAGGTGCTAACTATACTACTACGCCATAGACAAGGAAAAAGTGCCAGTTGAACAAGATGAAATGAGGATACAGCAGCCACACGGTATTTGCTGCCATCATCCCACTATAAACTTATATACGTATGCTTTGCTCCATCTAGCCTAGTGTAACGATCTGCCACCCGCTACTCCCAAGTCCAGTAACTTTCCTTGCAACCAATATTGATTCAAAAGAAAGTTCATTTATTGAGAACAAGTGTACAGTTCCAAAGCATTGCTAAGACTAAGCCTGTGCGCGCCAAAAGTAGTTTTTTTTTTTTTTTACTTTTTCCCTCCTTCACCCCCCTTGCCTCCTTAGTCTCCTGATTCTCCCGCTGGTACGGCCTTGAGCATTCCACCGCCTGTGATAAGGAGCCATCTGCCTCTAATGGTGTTCCATCTATCCCCCCCGTCCCCCCCCCACCTTTTACAATGGCAGAACCGCAGCATGTAAAAAGCAAATACCAAACTAGCCAACCAACCAACCAACCA